TACCGTTCCATGACGTCATAACCAATTTGAGAGCGTTTTCGCGCCCTTTGTTATATTCAATATTTGGATAATTAATTATTTATTAGTGGTTCAGTATAAAGAGGATTTGAATAATATAGTTCTAGAGTATTTTGCTTCATTTTAAATACATTTTGCATCAAAATAAAATTTTATGCAACTTCCTCATTGTGGCACAATAAATATGTGAATCTGCTAAGTAATATTGAATCTGTAAAAGATGTCTTCACTTCAAGTAAAAAGTGTTTCCACTTTGAATAACAATGAATGTGCATAGTTACTAAATCAGAATCAGTTTCAGTAGTGAAATCTAGAAAAAGTAGAGAAAAAACTAAAAGAAACAAGAAGAATCATAGTGAATTGATTATGGTTTGGTAAATGAACCAATTGGATTACAGCATGAATTGAATTTCACAATTCAAGAAGCTAAAGACAAAAAAAAAATAGGAAAAATAAGAAGGATGGTTAAGACTTGGGTAAAGATTTAAATGAAATGGCGGTAGTTGAGTAACACTTTCGCGACGTGGCCGATTTCGGGTGTGTTAATGCAGAGCCGTGTTTTATTTTATTTTTGTTCAACATGTGAATATAGTGTATTTGTGTTCAATCAAGTGTTATATACTTGTTTTGAGTTTTTTTGCAATTTTTTGTTATTTTTCAAAATGTACCATAAAAATTAACTTCAGCTTAAACTCATCAATATTTTTGGAACCAGTGAGCAAGAATGAAATAATAAATCACATAAACTCTCTAAAAAAAAATTGCGCTTCTGGTCCAGATGGTATAAGTACCAAAACAATAAAACTGGCTCATCTCCATCTGATAAAACCCTTAATCCATATCATAAATTTGATATTCAGTACAGGCAAGGTCCCTGGAAAGTTTAAGTCCTCGGTTATTACCCCAATATATAAAACAGGTGATAAATCGAATATTTCCAATTTTCGGCCAATAAGTGTTATAAATAATTTTTCAAAAATCTTCGAAAAGTGTCTTAAAAACCGATTGGTCAGCTTCTTTCAATCTAATGATATTTTTTCGAAGAGTCAGTTTGGCTTTAGAAACGGGCTTGGTACTGAACATGCCATATATGAATTAACAACCCAGATAACAACATGCCTCGATAAGAACAGGAAATGTCTCACTGTATTCCTAGACCTTGCAAAGGCATTCAATACGGTACCTCACCTACAGCTCTTGGATGTCCTAAATATCTACGGGGTGAGAGGGACCGTGTTGGATGTCTTTAAAGACTACCTGGCAGACAGACAGCAGGTGGTGAAAAAAGGGGACACCCGAAGTAACCCCCAAACCGTTAAGATTGGCATCCCTCAGGGTACCATCCTGGGTCCAGTACTTTTCATTGCGTATATTAATTCCTTAACAAACATGAATATAAAGGATGGATCCATCATATCATATGCTGATGATACAGCCGTTACATTTGTAGGAGACACCTGGGCTCAAGTGAAGGAATCAGCAAAACATGGTATTTCAAGAATAAAAACATGGCTAGACTCTTTCAAACTAACATTAAACGCTAGTAAATCAAACTATATAGCCTTCTCCCTTACATCCTCCAATCGCCCTTCTTTTAAATAAGACTTTTCAACAAGTTAGATGAAAGATGATTTATCTGGTCGAACACAGGTTGTGAAAGTGAAAAATTTTGTGTCGTCAATAATCAATGTATCTTCCGGTGTGCCTCAGGGAAGCCATCTATCGCCTATGTTATTCAACTGCTTTATAAATGATCTGCAGGACTGTATTCGTTTCAGCAAAATTTTATTGTATGCAGATGACTTGAAGATTTTTAAGGTTGTTTGTTGTGAAAGTGATTGTCTAAAACTTCAAGAAGACCTACAAAGCTTTGCTATGTGGTGTCAGTCTAATAAGTTGGAACTTAATGTAAGTAAATGTTGTACAATCAGTTTCTACCGATTGAAGGTACCCATTGTATACTCCTATGTATTAAATAATCAGGAACTGATTAGAGAGGAGATCATAAAGGACCTTGGGGTGATGATTAATAAAGAATTCACATTTGGACCTCACATAGAATACCTAAAAAATAGGTCGATTAAATTGCTTGGATTTGTCATTCGTTCACTGAAAGATTTCAATAACATATATGCATTGAAAAATGTTTACTGTGCAGTAGTCAGATCTGTCACTGAATATGCTTGTCCTGTATGGTCTCCCTATTATAAAAAATGGATCGATGAAATTGAGAGAGTCCAAAAAAAGTTTCTGCGTCATGTAGGATATCAACTAAATATTCCAAGATATGAACTTCAATATAGTGACATATTGGCTCTCTTGGAAATATCGTCACTGGAAAAAAGAAGATTGTATTTTGATCTATGCACATTGTTCAGGGTTTTGAACGGTTTAATTGTTTCACCGGCATTATTGCAACTAATTAATTTTAAGGTACCAACAAGACAAACTCGACAAAATATAACCTTTGGTGTATCCTCCCATGTAACAAATTATGGTTTTTATTCACCTATATCTAGAATATGCAGAGAAGCAAATAGGCTTCCACCTACTGTTGATTTTTTTAACTCCTCTTTCAATAAGTTTAAGATAGACATTAAGAATTACTTAAGTTTAATGTAAATGAATGTTATTGTAAATGGTCTTTGATCGTTAATAAATTATTATTATTATTATTATTATTATTATTATTATTAAGTACAAAAAGTATAACTAGAGAAAGGATCTTTAAAAGAAAGCTAAAAGCCCTCTTAATCAACTTGGAACCATATAGTATGGATGACTACTTTCGTAGATAGTATTAAGTAGTGAATAGGTTAAAGATGTCTAGTTGTTGATAGGACATTGGTTTCAGATAATTTAGTAATCTTATGTTAAGAAGTTACCACTTGGTACTTTAGTAGTAGTAAGTGGTAAATAAATAATTAATGACGATATTTCACTTCATATTTTGTATATTTTTTTATATATAATGTAATGTGAAATAAATAAAATAAATAAATAAATAAATAAATTTAAAGAGCTTGACGTCATTAACGGAGACTCCCCATTGCTTGAAGTAGACTCTACAAAATATCTTGGAGTTATCATCGATAAACACCTTAAATGGGGACCTCATGTATTGAAGTTAACCTCAAACATAAGAAAGCTTATACATAAATTTTACATCCTCAGAGAAATAATTAACAAAAAATTACTGATTTCAGTTTACAAAGTACTTGTCGAGCCCCTAATAAGATATGGTATTGTTGTGTGGGGTGGAATGTATGAGAGCTCGTTACGATCCTTGAAGGTGACTCAAAATTTTATTTTAAAAACAATTTACAAGAGAAATAGGCGATACTCAACGCAGCTACTGTATTCAGCAGGCGTACTAAATGTTCGATCTCTTTATGTTCTTTCAATCTCGGTTTTTGTTCACAGAAATCAAAAATTGAGATCATTTATACGAAACGCGCCATAAATTTAATAGGCATTTAATAATTCCAAATAGTAACACTAATATGAACACTAAATCGATATGTTATCTTGCTCCGAAAATATATAATATAATCCCAAAAGAAGTGAAAAGTAATAATAATATTAAAAGATTTAGCAACCTTTGTAGAACATTCATTTCCACTAGTTATAATAGGTTTCGTATTTTATTCTAGTGTGCCCTTTTGTTTTATGGTTGGAGTGTTTGGATTGTGATTTTGTATCTTTGCTCCCGATATATGCATACTTGCCGTTAGGGTATTTTTTTTAGAATTAGTTAAAGTAAATCCTGTTCAATTAATTTTCATCTAAAAATAGTTTTGTTACCTTGCACATACAGGGGTTTAGTCCCCTAGGTGCATCAATTAAATAAGTATAATATAATACCACCGGTGGTACATGACGGCTGTGAGTAATATTTGTTCCTCAGGGACGTGGTGTACCACCGGTGACCACCATGTTAAAGGCATGTTATCAGAAGTTTTTATCAGTTAGAATTTAATTAAGTAATGTAAAACTATATACTGGGTGTTGCCTGAATAAAAAAAATAATAAAACTATCACTAAAATTCTGCTATTTTAGTAGGTAGACCAAAATCATAGAAATCAATGTAAGAAATGTCAGATTTAGAACCGCATGTACCACGGGTCATGTACCACCTTTACGTACAGCCGTAACATCTTTTCTAAGCTTTCTATGCAGCCGTCGCGTTTTTAAGATTCAGTAAACAATTTGTTTCATTTTGATGAAGATGAGGTAATTGAATCTGAAGCATAACTCATAACAAATCAAGATATTTCCATTGAAGTTGTGAAAATTGATTGTTTTGACACCATTAAGGATATTTCTGATTACAATGAAGTTGCTGATGAGAATAAGGAAATTGTACTTAAGTAAACCAAAATCTGATTCGGACAAAGTTTCAATCAGGATCTTATTTTCAATCTCTATATGGAAAATATTTGCAATTGAGCCTTAAAAATCCTTGGCTTTGTAGTCCAAACTTTGACTTTATAAAAATACTTATGCTGGCAAGGGTTCAATGAGAGTTTCTTAGGCATGTAGGTATTCTCTCGGGCATTCTATAAGTTAAGAATTCCTGTTGTTGAAAGTATTAGTTTTGATGAATTATCTGTATTAGTATTACACATTTCTACATAAGAAATCTTGGTACATGCTTTTTATAGAAAACTGTAAGTAATTTAATTGAATGTCCTCCTCTGTTAGATGATATAGACTCGGATATAGATATTCATTTAGTTACAGTCCTATATACTTAAATATAGGTAGATCTCTTCAATTTATCTTCGAAGGGGTTGAAAAACAGGGTTTTTAGTTATTTTAGATGTGATTTAATGATTTTATTGTTTAATAATTTTCAAAGTATTTTCAAATTATTTGATGATTCAGAATTTATATTGTTGTTAATGACACTGGCTGATTTGTTAATAAAGAATTTGAATTTTTGTCCCACCCCCAATGTTTATTATGGAAAATCACTTACACTTTTTCTCCGTAAACTGATGCAACAAACAAGATTTTCCAACGCCCATGTCGCCTATAATGATGTACTTGAAAATATAGGAATAATTATACGGTCCGGCCGACATTTTCCTGAAAATTACAAAGGAAAAATTTATTATTTAATTGGAAACGCAAACAAATTGTTGGAAAACGATGATGATTCACTGTTGCTGTGGCATATTTCGCGTTACCTTGGATGATTCGAAGATTAGGAATTAATAAATACGATCGTATTTTGAATATTATTGCAGAACAATAATTAAAAAATAAGGATTTTTGTTAAATGTGGGTGGCCATCACAACACAACTGACAACAGGGAATAAAAAATTACGACTGTCAAAAATGACTTTTATCAACTCGAGAACTGTCAAGTAGCGAATTCTATTGGTAGAACCAGTGCAGAAAAAATGTTTTTTTATCTCTTTTTTATATAAGCTGGTAGAAAAAGACACTAATATATTCAGTGCAACTAATGGCGTTTCCGATTGGTAGATTTACCGTGCGTTCGTTATTTTGGTCCGAGTTCTCCGAGCTTGACTTTACCGTTCGTTTATTTAAAAAGTGTACTCGGTGCAGCCTCATTCGCGTTCGTTTATTGAAATTTCTGGCACTTTTATTCAGCGTTCAACTGCTCTGTTCGCTCACTGATCACGTGATTACGGCTCCGCTCAGCACGCTCTGCTCTTTGAGCAAAATACCGAACGCAAGGTTAGTGCGGAACTAGTGCAATTTTTTCTATTTCTCTCTTTTTCTCCTACAGGTCGATTAAAAGGATGCAAATACACTTAGTGCGCACTGAATTTACCAATCGGAAACACCATTACTCTTCCAATAGAATTCGCTAAAAGTTTCAAGTTGGCAATAAAATGTGTGCACTGGCAACACTGTAGTTTTGAATTGACGTTTTTCAAATTTTGACATTTCGACTTAAATCCAAAACAAGCTTGGCCCCGAATGGCGTGTTCTTCATAAATTTAAAAATTTCCAGTGCTTATTTTGTATGTTTTCAAACAAATTATTCAACTACAAAATTCCGAGCATCCAACAAATCTACTTGCCGTTCAAAATCCAGTTTGTTTTCTCACTGTAGTGCATTTTGAGGTTATCTTTATTGGGGGCCCCCAGTATTTCGCAATGTTTAAATCGAAAGAATTGAATGAGTCGCAGTTTTTGAACAATGTCCCGTTGCCTAGAATGAACGACACGTGCAACGGTAAGCCTCAAATAACATCAACACCTATAAATTCGCTAGATTTGAGGAGGAAATCGATTTTGTCTCCTCCATTGCCTAATGCTAGACATGCATCCCCTCGAAAGTAAGTATACCTATTTATTATGTTATTACTAGTATCATTATCAGTCACCCTTTCTTAAGCTGGATTTATAGTGTCAGTATCAGTAACAGTAGCAGTAACAGTAAAATATTAAAACACGGCCGGCCGTAAAGCCATTTATAGTTCACTTAACAAACTTATCAGTAAAACTTAAGAAATGGTTATTTTCATATCTGTTCTTAAGTTTTAAGTTACTGTTACTGATACTGACACTATAAATCCAGCTTTAATGAATTCCTCAAGGTTTGTGATTTTAAGCCCTTTATTTATATTTATTATACATTTTGCAGGGTATTTTTGTAGGTGTTCTGTAAAGCTTTATTATTCAGAGTTGACAAAAATTCAGATAATTGTATGATAGTGGATAGAGAATTAGATTTTTGGTGATTTTGGTGGCTATTGTGTTTTGATTTATATTTTGGCCGTGGCTAAAGTAACAGAGGTGTTACTATAAATATTTTCTTAAAGTAACATCAATTACGACGTCACTGACACTAAAAGCAGAACCCTTACAGAAGCGAGGTTATAAGTTAATAGTGGGCAATGGCTAAATATAAACAACAATATTATGATGCTAAACTTTGGTATCGCGAAGGTGATTAGTCGGCGGCTCTATATTTCCATTCCTCACATGCCCTTATTTAATAGTTATTTGTAAACCAAACGGAGGGGAGTGTGTGTAGGTATAGGTATAGTTCTCTCCTGCAGGTGAAATTCGATTACTTAATTACCAAAGAGAGAAACGGAACTTCACTACTCCAAGGGAATATACCTACTTAAGTATATGATTTTTCATACAAGATAATAGTAATTGATAATCTATACCTAATACCTGCATTACACATGAGGAGATATACGATACCTATCATAAAACTATTATCTACAGCGAAAAAACTTCTGCCTGGGAAGGAAAATAATTTACTTTCCTCCCTAGGGTGGGGAAATAACTATTTTCCTTCCTGAAAAGAAGGTAAAAAATTGTCACTTTCTGACAGGGTCATAGGGAAATGTGTCTTTCCTGCCTTGCCCATACTGCCTATTCTATTCTATCCTTCAAAGTCAGGTTATTTTTTTATATATTTCTATTTTTACTCTAAAACAAATACCAAGAATATCACCTTTACTTTAAATTGCTAAAGAAAGTACCTATCTACATATTGCTATATTGACGTTACTTCAAGAAAATAATTAGAGTAACACCTCTATTACTATAGCCCCTAATAAAAGTAACGTTGTCATCAGTGACGTCATTGAACTGATGTTACTTTAAATTAATAATTATAGTAACACCTCTGTTACTTTAGCCAGGGCCTTATATTTTTGTGTATTATAACCTATCATTTTCTCACAGATAATAATTTAGTTATGAGGTTTTCAGAATTTTATTCTAATTTTTTCTTTGTGGAAGGAGTCTAAAAGTATGTGTGTGATGCTAGCTTCTTGTAGCCAGCTCCTTGCTCCAAATATCATTCATCAAACCACAGAAATATCTCAATAGGCACCTTGCATCAATTTTTTTATTGCTGATTTTGTTTGTCAATGAAAAATAAGTCAACACGTGTTTTTTCTTTTTCTTGTTAGACAAAAATTGACAAAGATACAACACTTTGAAATGAGCTTATTTTTGATATCCTATGACGTCACTCCATGCTGAGTATATCTATATATACAAAACTTAATCTTTGTATAACTTTCGGAATATTCATATTTGAACAAAATAAAAAAAATGCATATAGTTTTTTTTCCGATTTCCTACAGTTTGCAATAAACAGTTATCAATTTAATTTTTCATGCGAGTTTTCATGCAAGGACCTATTGCATCCATCTATTTTCTCTTCCAATGCTTCAGCAATTAGTTCATTCAATAGCAAAATAGCAACCTTAGTTTAAGAGGCAATTTCTGTTTGTCTAAAACTTCAATATCTGACTTGGTTTTTGTTTGATTTTCACTTTGCCTTCCTCTATGAAGTTTTCCCAGAGAAATCTTTAAACTTGCTGAATCGTTCAACTTATTCAAATCAGTTATTGAAAGCGGGATGTAGGCTCTTTTGCCTTGGCTCTGTGTGCACCACTACTTTTTAGTACAGGACCGGATTTCCAATATAAAATTTTCAGGGTATTCAGAGGATCAAAGAAATAAATAATTTTAAGCTAAGAGTTAAGTTCAGCTATGATTTCATGGTGAATTTACAACATGGCAGTGGCGACGCCAGGGGGGGCCGGGGCCCCCCCTGAAATTTAGTTGGCCCCCCCTGAAAACTTGACCATGTCGACAACAATGCAATGCAATGCAACATGCGTAACCTCTGCTCTCTGGTTAATTTGATATTTGGTGGGCGCCAGGCAACCACGACTATGCTTTCGCTTTTCTGGGATTCCCCCAAACATATTTGTGTCGACAGGTACAGGGTTTTCCTGTGTATTTTTGGCACCTCACCCGAAGGCCGGTTTCTCAATAGCAAGCAAGTCACCCCCAGGTCAAAGCAGTTAACCATAACTCCAGGGTAAACATTGCAATTGGGCACGTTTACCCTGGACTAGCTATCGAGAAACCGACCCTGAACGGTTAATTGAATAGGTATCAAGAAGATTTATCTATACAGGGTGTCCGTTTTTCGAGAGCAATCATTGGAATATAGGAAACGGTAAGAGATACAGGTTCGGTGAAATTGGGACAAAGTTTCGCAATTTCTTGCTTAACAAAACGCTACTTCGAAATTTGGAAAATTCCGAATACTTCCGGAGATACATGGGAATCAAAATTTTGTAAAATCCATTTCTATATTTTCCTGGACTCATTTGTAAAGTTATTTCAAATAAACTTCATTTTATTGGGGCAACTTTCTCCCCTCTATATTATGGTGTAACCAAATTTGAAATCCGACGTTTGCATCTTTTGCTGATCATCATCAACTTTATTTTTTCAAATAGAGGTTTGCATTTTTATGAATTGTATTCGGAGTTTCTTGATCTCCCAAAAGCAGTAACACATTTGGCCATTGATTCCGATTTTGTATCTCTTACCGTTTCCTATATTCCAATGGTTGTCCTCGAAAAACGGACACCCTGTATACAAAATCCAAATAAAAACCTTTTTGATACATTCAATTAAGCTGTTCAAGTGGAGTGCAAAAATATACAGATAAACTTTGCAATTCCCATTTTTTATTTCAAAGAAGAAAAGCAATAAAGTAAGAACAAGTGCCCCCTAATTTTTTCTGGCCCAGCCTGGCCCCCCCTAACGTAAAACCCTGGCGGCGCCACTGCAACATGGAGATCAGCTATTAAGGTTAGCAAAAGCATTGGAAACTGAGAAACATTGGAATAATTGCAAGATTGTGAAAAATGAAGTAATAAATAAATTGTGCAAGGGGTAAACCACCATCCCAGAATTTGTGCAAACAATTCCTCAAGAGGGAATTTTTTTACACATAATTCCTCAAAATTCCTGCAAATTCCCCACAAATTCCTCCAGATACCCCATCACAAATTCCTCCAAATACTTACCCCACCATAAATTTCTCCAAATACCCCACAAATTCCTCTAAAGACCCAAGCAGCTCAGCGGTTGTGTTTTCGCTTTGCATGCAGTGGGTCTCGGGTTCGAATCCCGGCTAGGTGCATGGATGTTTGTTTGTTTGTTTGATTTGGTTTGTGTGTGATGTTGGAGGCTTTGTCGACAAACCACAGTGGTGGTTTCTGACAAGAAAGCAGAAAAAAAAAAAAAAAAAAAAAAAAAAAAAAAAAAATTCCCTGCAAATTTCCGCAAATTGAAGCGTAGAAAGGTTAAAGGCTTATTTTCCCAAAATTTTAAATTTTTCCAGTAGAAAATAACAACATGAGGAATATTGGAAATCAACCTACAATAACTGAATTAATTAAAAATACTGTCTCACACGAGGTCTCACATATTTCAAAGTTTTCTTGGAAAACCTCGTGGAAAACTAGTGAAGGGAAAATTTTGAAACTTTTTGCATGTGAAGAGGAAGGGGAGAAGCGAGGGGTCAACCACTTTGTAAAAATTTGTACACGTATTGCGAAGATGTCGGTATTTTGCAAGTATTTCGCGAAATTCAAAGTATTGCGGTGGTAATTCGAACATAGTTTTTTGTGGTATTGCCGAGTACTCCAAAATATTTGCAGGTAATTCGAAACATTTCGAGGTAATTCGAAGTATTTCGGTGTAATTCGAAGTATTTCGCGGTAAGCTGAGGTATTTCGCACTATTTAAAATTATTAGTATTTTTTTTATATACCTACCGAGAACAATTAATTCTTTATCACCCAATATTGAAATATTATAGTCCATTTTCGAACAGGCTATATCGAGTGCTAAATATGTTGACATAATTTGGATTTACTGCAACGAGGACTGAACATGGGTTGACTGGGGATTACTTTTGACATTCCCTGTATTTTGAGAAAATTGAAAATAGCCAATTGGAACATTTTTTTCTGGAGAACTCAAAAATGGTACCAAAAAATCATTTGAACCAAAAACCGAAGAGTTACGCCATGGACAAGCTGTTTTTTAAATGGAACAGCCTGTTTTTTGTATGATTTTTGGAAAAGTCGCACTTTTTTACATGCATTCTATTGAAAATATCTGATATTCCGATAGCTGTTTTTATCTTATTTTAATGTTTTATTCTTATTCCTGCGACTAGTGATTTAATTGTTGTATGTGTGTCCGAATAAAATCTATCATATCAAAAGACACAAAAATCCGAGCAAAAATTCTTCACACAAGAAGACTCGTTATCAAGAATTTTTTTAGAAGTATTGCGGGACTTCGCGCGGTAATTCGAGGGTATTTTGGGTACTTCGACCGTAATTCTAGGGGATTTCGCGTACTTCGACGAGAATACCTGGTATTTCGAGGTACTTCACAGAATTTCTAGGTACTTCGAAGTATTTCGGAGGTTATAACTCACTGTACATTTTTCCCATATGACACGAGAGGCTTAATAAGTGATAAGCCTTTTGGGATTATCGCGCTTGGTGGCAATATTGTTCATTTCTATTATTAACAATAAAAATTAATAAATTATTGAAATTTGGTTCTTTGTATAACCTTTTGAATACCACTCGATGTTTCAGGATTACCTAATACTTTAACCTGACACTCAACGCGTTACCAGCAACACCACTCCTCCTTCGGAGTCGTGGTGTTTCTGCGTAACGCGTTTCGTGACAGGTAAAAGTATTATCCGGTAATCCTAAAACCTCTTGTGGTATTACATTCGATAATTCGGGACAAGTGTAGACGTATTTCGGGAAGTGGTTGACCCCTCGGGGAGAAGCTCATTTTCCTAAAATTTCAAATTTTTCCAGTGGAAAATAACAACATGAAGAATTTTGGAAAACAACTAACAAAAATTGAAGTAATTGTTAATACAGTCTCACACAATTTAAAGTTTTCCTGTAAAACTAATTAAGGGAAAATTTTGAAACTTTTTACATGTGAAGAAGAAGGTGAAAAGCTCATTTTCCCAAAATTTCAAATTTTTCCAGTGGAAAACCGCAACATGAAGAATCGAGTGAAGAATCTTAGAAATCAACCTACAAAAACTAAATTAGTTGAAAATACAGTCTCACACATTTCAAAGTTTTCCTGAAAAACTAGTGGAGGGAAAATTTTGAAACTTTTTACATGTGAAGAGGAAGATGAGAAGCTCATTTTTCCAAAATTTTAAATTTTTTCAGTGAAAAATAACCACATGAAGAATCTTGGAAATCAACCTACAATAAGTGAATTAATTAAAAACACTGTCTCACACAATTCAAAGTTTTTTTAGAAAACTAGTGACGAGAAAATTTTGAAACTTTTTGCATGTAAAGAGGAAGGGGAGAAGCTCATTTTCCCGAAAATTTCAAATTCTTCTAGTGGAAAAAAACAACGTAAAAATCTTGGAAGTCAACTTACAAAAACTGAATTAGTTGAAAATATTGTCTCACATATTTCAAAGTTTTCCTGTTTTTCAAATTTTTCCAGTGGAAAATAACAACAGGAAGAATCTTGGAAATCAGCCTACAAAAACTATACTCATTATTGTTTTGAATTTTTTAAATTTGGACCTGTAAAGCCCGGGACACATCTGTCATGCATTCTTCCGATCCGACTCCGATCATACAATCAGGGTCCTTATTCTTGGAACAGGGAGCAACGTTCCCAGGAGAACGAGTGTTCCGCTGCTTCCCTGTTCCAAGAATAAGGACCTTGATTGTATGATCGGAGTCGGATCGGAAGTATGCATGATAGATGTGTCCCGGCCTTAAATCATGAAGTGAAATTTTGGGAGAATAAATGTCCAATGTTCAACCCTAAACTAGATTTTTTTTTAAAAATTTCCATTTATTAGTGTTTCTTATAATAAGAATGTGAACCTCAGTGACGTCATAACTACAATTTCCTAAATTTCTCATAAATTCCTAACAAATTCCCCAGTAATTTCTCCGAATTCCGATGAGTTCCTTCAAATTCCCCACATTTTTGGCAAAGAATTCATAGGTGGTTTGCCCTTTGAAATTAAGACATGAAACACAAAAGTACAATGAGGAAAAAATGGATGATAATAAATATGACATTGAAAATATGTAGAAAGCACTAAAGAAGTTAGTTTGAAGTTGAAAAACTATCTAAAATGATTAAAATTAAATTTGAAACTTTAATTTTGGAAAATGATCAAGAAATAGCTTGAGAAATAGCATATAGTTTCAACACTTATTTTGTAAGCAGCATTAAAGACTGTGTAATCAACAAAAAATGTAAAGGGTTTTGATTTTGTATTGGAAAGAATGTCACAAGTTGGTTGTTCCTTTGACAGCTTCCATTCAGTTGATTGGGAAATGTTATCTGGGAATATTGCACTGTAGTCCCAATTAGCTAGCTACATCACGTACATGCAGATTAATTTCTGCTTCTGTGATTAAGGTTTATTTGCTAAATTTAAGTTTTTTTCACTGTAAACTTGTTATTTTTTTTGGCAAAATTCGGTTTTTTATGGATATTTTCGGAATTATTCGGACTTTCCGAGATATCAAAACATGACGCCACTGAGATCAATAATGCACAACTTTTTCCAAATTTAACCAACCCCTTTATATCTTATGGTTACCAAGATCCGTAGCGTGCATCCTTATTCGGGACATCCTGTACATTTTTAAAATTTTATTTAGCATGGGCTTTTCAACAAATTTGTATTTTCCATTTTCACACAACAATATCTTTTTCTGTTTTCAGATACTCACTATCAGAAGTCGGCGCACCATCATCAAGAATCGACCCTAAACCGACAACATCAAACGCCCCAGGACCCCTATTGGCGTCCCTATCCATCAAAGACAATGTCAGCATGTATCAGGAAACGAAAAGCTCCGGCCTGGCGAGAAGAATTGTCCAATACAAAGAGAAAAAGGATAAGAAAAACGAAAAACATTACACGCACCAGGAGCAGTACAGCAGTCCTGGCCTATTTCCCATTGTACATTTGTTTAGGAAAAAACTGCCCGCCAGGAAACTCAAACCCGAAAGAATAATGCCAAGAATGTCCAGTCCTGAATACTTGAAAAGTTTGTCCCCAATGATTAATAAGAATTTGGACAGGAGTCATCTGTTGGATAACCAGACAAGACCCAGATATCCCAGGCCAAGCAGTTTTCCAGCTTACAATCAAAACGGTGTAGAAACTAAAAGTGTTTTGGAAGCCCTAAAAGAAATATCCAGAAAAAGAATTCGTTCTAGTGAAGAATACGAAACACTAGACACCGGTAAAAAAGCAAAAACAGACTCACATAATGGTGTAGTAGCGACAACTAAAAGAACTAGAGTGGATTCGCCTCCATTAAATTCTTCTAGCAGTCCATCTTCACAGCAATCGCAAAAGAAATTTTGCAATGAATTTGACGCTTCAAAGTCTTCGTCAGACTTTACGATGTTGAAAAAAATTGAAACGCCAAAGTCTTCGAAAAGAAAAACTACAAGTACTTCAACGGAATCTCTTGACAATACCAAACAAGTCAAAGTGGTAGCTGTAGAAACACAAACCCCAATTACGCTTCCTAATATAGTTGAGCCAAAAGAAAAATCACCGGAAATTGTAGAAGAAACGGTTAGCAAGGAATTACCTGTAATAGAAAAACCCAAAGCTAAATTAGTATTCAATGACGTATTTATGGATAATTATAGAGGAAAAAGATTGTTGTCTTTGATGGGCTCTGATTTCAAAAAAAATATTTCGGTCAAGGAGCCTGAAAAACCAGCCACAGTTACAAAGGAGCAAACAGAAGTCCAATCATCCCTAACTTCAATTTTATCATCTCCAAAATCGAGTACACATAAACCTACTGAAAAACATGTACACTTTAATGAAACCACAGCAGCAGCGCCATCGATCAATCAGCCCTCTTTGACACAAACCTCAGCTCCTATAGTATCAGAATCTGTTAGTAAACCTTCTATCATCCAGACAACACCTGTTGCGTCAACCACCCCAACCTTTTCATTTGGGAATCCAACTTCTACAGATAAAACTGACACAAGTAAGCCTTCGGTTGGTTTAGGAAAACCTTTGGAAACTAGTCCTCAAAAACTTGGAGGCTTCAAATTTGACCTTAACGCACCTGCCAGTACGACATCTTCTGCTACAAAAACCACTTTACCCTCTATAAGTTTTCCTGCTAATGCATTGAGTTTCAATAAGCCCTCAGAAAGTTCCGTAATAGTTTTTGGATCAAGCTCCAACACAACAACAGCTGCTTCAACAACTTCCAAAACGGAACCCACGTTTTCTTTTGGGAATTCATTGGCCAAATCGCCAGCGATTAATTTTGGTTCCAATGCTAAGACTCCTAGTTTCAAAATTACAACCACTCCAAGCACAGTGCCAGCTTTTGGTATCACTAGCACAACTACTACCAGCGCTGCACCGATGATAAATTTTGGTGTGCCAGCAGCAACAACAACGACGACACCTTCAGTTAACTTTGGTGGAACTTTTGGTGGACAGAGTACCGCATCAAATAAACCCAGTACTGCCTCGCCCTCTATGTTTGGCTCAAATACTAGTACTGCCACTGTCACGCCTACATTTGGCAGTCCTCAAGTGTCTAAACCGTCAACAGGTTTTGGAAGTGGTAATGCTTTTGGTAGCAATACAACAACTATTAGTGCGCCAACTTTTGGCAACAATACTACAACTATTAGTCTTCCAACTTTTGGCAACAATACTACAACTATTAGTGCTCCAACTTTTGGCAATACAACAACTATTAGTGCCCCAACTTTTGGCAACACTACAACTATTAGTGCGCCAACTTTTAGCAATACCACCTCAGTTTTTGGTACTGCACCGGTAACTTCAGCTCCAGTTTTCGGCAGTGGTACCACAACAAAAACGTTTGGCAATACAACTTCTTCAGTTTTTGGCACTCCAGCTACTGCGGCTTCAGTTTTCGGTGCCACTAGTTCTCCTGCCCCTCCAACTTTTGGCAGTACCACTTCAGTGTTTGGAAGCACACCAGCAACTCCAATGTTTGGCAGTACTACTACAACTACTTCTGCTTCGATGTTCGGAAGCACCACCACTACAACGTCGGCTCCACCAACATTCGGTAGTACTGCGTCAGGTTTTGGTAGTACACCAGCAACTTCGGCCTCAGTTTTTAGTAGGCTTGGTACCAAACCAACTTCAGCTTTTGGTGGTACTCAAACCACAGCTGCCCCAGTGTTTGGTGCAACCAATAGTAATCCAACGTTTGGTTCCAAAAATAGTGTTTTTGGAGCTAGCAGCGCACAAGCACCACCCCCTGCTTATGGAACTCCTAGTGCAAATAATACTTTTGCGGCATTTGGAACTACAACAGCTAACGGTCCTTTTGGTGGCACCACAACAACCACTAGTGCCACAGGTTTTGGTGCAATTTCAACGTTTAGTTTTGGCGGTAGTAAACCGGTAACAGCTAATCCGTTTGGTACCACAACAACTACAACCAATAGTACTTTTGGAACCGCAAATGCTTTTGCTGCCACAACCAAGAGTAGTAGTACTTTTGGTTCTCCTAGTGCGTTTTCATCTACTGCTGGCGGATTTGGTGCAAGTGCTCCTACATTTGGTGCTGCGGCGAACACTTTTGGTGGTACCAGCGCGCCAAGTTTCGGGCAAAAGGACAATAAGGCCCCGTTCGCGTTTGGAGGGGGCGAAAATAAGACAAATACTATCAGTTTTGGATCCGGTACTGCCAATAACACTCAAACTGGATTTGGTAGCTCCGCTACAAGCGGTTTTGGTAAGTGGATTTTTGGTTTTGTGGATTTATTTGTGAAATAATTTTTTGTTTAGGTACTGCCCCTGCTGCCCAGCCGCAAAGCAATGGAGGATTTAATTTTGGGTCAAATACGTCGGCTGCGCCTTTCGCATTTGGTGGTGCCACTACTGGTACTAGTACTCCTGCCAAGCCAGGTTTCAACTTTGGAGGTAAGTTGAGAATTTAAAATAAATGAGATTGATTTAGCAGATACTTGATGGAATTACAAATTTTCTGAGGAAACAAAAAAGTTTCTAGATTTCCACAATTTTATTTAAATGAAACCGTAATATGCTTCAGCACACATTGTGGTTATTGCTTTTATATCTTCAAGAACCTACTTTTCAATTATGTTGTTTCCTGCTATATTGTATATGTTGTATTTACAAAATTCTAAATTTATTTAGGCTCCACGAATCCGCCACCTGCCTTCGGTAATCCCAACTCGATGCCCACTTTTGGTACAGCCTCTCTGGGATTCGCAGCACCGGGAGCCCCGACGTTTTCGGCCACTGGAACACCGGGAGCTGGAGCGGGAGTATTCAACATTGGCACAGGATCGACAGGGGGTAGACCCAGAACGCAATTACGAGCAAAAAGAAGAACTTAAAATTAAATTATTTGTATTTTAATTTAGGTGATAAATTGATGGGGAAGTTTGGCAACAGGGCACATGTGTGAAGTATAATTTCACACTTTTGCCAAATTTCTGACGGTATGGGTTTTTTTGCGGGACTTACTGGTTGCAGCCAAAAAAAAACTACAAAAAGGCCCAGAGCGTCTCCAATATAGATATAAAAATTTTAAAGGCTAAAATTAATGGGGGAGGTTTCGACATTTCCATTCACATAAATAGGCTACTTATTTATTTATTTATTTAGACAAAGCATAGATTTTATTGTGTCAATGCAAACCATTACAATCCTTGTAATGTTTTGCAATGATCGGAGCTCGATATACTTGTCTCGAAAAATTCCTATTCAAAATCCTCCATATTTTTTAACTACTCGTTATGTGATGTAAGCATGATGAAAAAAAAAATCGAAATCGGTTGTATATATTTTTTAATTGATGAATTTATTGTGATAGTATGCGATTTACACATACGTTTTATATTCATGCTTGCTGAAGCATAATATTTCAATGCAAGCAAATTGTGTCTTTGATGATGTTTGTTAAAAATAAAAAAGAGTTTGTTACTTTATACATTTAATTGATTATTTATAGTAGTAGTGCTATGAAAATTGATTAGGCCAAACATTTTTTCTTTTTGGTTGTTTTGAGAAATGATTCATTTATTGTTAAAATTCAATTTTTTATTTATAATAAAATTAAGTATAAAATTATTTGTATTGGTTTTACTTATTATGCCATTCAGAAAAATTGTAAAAATGAGTTTGAGACGAAAATTTATGTGATTTCGAACGTTCCCTATTTATTTAACATTGCTGTCATTCGAATTCAAAATCAACTTTTTTATGCAAGAAGCAAGAATATTCAAAAATTGACCCCCTGGGTGAAATAGGTTGGACAGCTCTGATGGAATCCTTGTAATTGTTCTTTGCACTCTTTCTAAAACATCTATGTCTCTGTGTAATGAGGGCTCCATATACCCTTGTGCTTAGAAGTACTATCTCAGGATTAATCCCGACTCACAAAATATATTGTCAGGCTATCTCATGATAGTATTAATTCCAATTTATTTCGATCATACAGAGGCTTTATGATTATGAATAACGATTATAAAATGACCGAAATGTCTCAGTTCAAGAAGTTAAATCTTGATTGCCTTTAGCTACCTTATAAAATACAAGTCAGGATTATTCCTGAGATAATTTTGTAAGTCGGGATTAATCCTGAGATAGTGCTTCTAAGTCGGGAATAATCTCGACTTACAAATTAAGTCAGGATTATTCCTGAGATAAATCTGCAAGTCGGGATTAATCCTGAGATCATCTCAGGAATAATCCCAAGTGCTGAAAAAAAAACTCGTACCTAAATTTTGAGCCTTCAGAGCTTCCGTAGAGACCGTAGAATTCTGACTTTGAAGTCAAAGAGGGTTTATTTGTTTTTTATCTACGGTGTTTGAAAAATTCAGGTCGTATCCTTATTTGGGTCTGGAAAGTTTTGTGGGTTAAAGGACTCATGACTATTTCTACCAACTATTTAAGGGGATCCTTAACGATAAGTATGCCCTAAACTGATATTTCTCCATGGAAGAGTGTCATTTTAAGGAATACTCATAGTTAAGGGTCCCCTAAAATAGTTGGTGGCCATATACATAGAGGGACCAAAATAAAAAAACTAGGTATCCAGTTTTCGGGAACTGTTTCGGACAAGCTCTATTCCCCCATTCTAGGCTTGAGAAAAGATTAATAAATGTCGGAAATGTTAGATAGTTTCTTATTTTGGTTTCCTTATGGCCATTTCCACCTACTATTTTAGGGAAACCTTAACGATAAATAGGTTTGCCTTTAAACTCTATGGAAGACTGTCATTTTAAGAAAAACTTATCGTTAAGGCTCTCCTAGAATGTGGTTGGTGGAAACCAAGGTTCATAAAATTAATAGGTTGTCTGGTAATGCCAATGGGTTACTTGATGAGGCGTCTGGTGTACCTTCTGGAGATTTGCATTATACTGAAGCACCCCAGATGACGTCATAAAGCTATCAAGCAACCTACCTCTCTCAAACAACCCTGGATGGAAACGGCCATTTAGCCTTTAACAACCCAGTTAGTTCCAAAATTAACTACCATATGCAAATATAAACCTAAATTGAGTTGAAGTTTATGCCGGGAAGAACAACAAATTAGCAATTCATCACCATTGTAAAAACATCTTAAGCCCGTATTGTTGAAGTGACTGGCGTACCACCACGAGGACCAACGTGAGAGATGCAGTGACGTCACTGCGTGTTTCACATTTGGAGAATTTTTATAATTTTATTTAAATATGAACAAGAGCTCAGAAAATTATAAAATTTTGCATAACTGCTAAACTCAACACGCTTTTTCAGAATATGCAATAAAAAAAAATGCTGTACGAGCCTATTTAGGCACGGTAGGTTGTCTGGTAATAGGTAACTTGATGACGCATCTGGGGTGCCTTTAGTTTTCATGGAGCGGAAAATCGCGCTGCGGGTGCGCCGGAATATCGCTTTCCGTTCAAGAAGTAATTTTTACCGGTCCACATTAAGCGAGATTCTGGAAGCGGATTTTTAGTTATATTTAGGGTATTCCACCCACATTATATTTAGTGATTTTTATCAAATGCAAATGTCGTACCAAACATCTCACGCACAGGTGACAGTAAAAGGTGTCAGTGTGTCAGAGGATAAAAACTCGCGCAAAAGTTAAAAATAGTTTAGGTAACTTTTTTGCGATATCGCAAAAAGTTGACATTGCTCCGCTGCGGGACAAATTTTAAAAATTCCGCGTCCGCAACGCGATTTTCCGCTCCATGAGAACTAGCAGGCTTGGAGATTTGCATTTATGTTGAGGCACCCCAGATGACGTCATACTGTTATCAGGCAGCCTAACCTTGCAGGTTTGGTACAATTTTATTACTCCAACTACATACTTATAGAACGTTTTTGTACAGGCACAATAAGGTGTCCTATTTTGGTTATATACAAGGGATAACTAGGTTGCTATTGGACTACCTGATCGCCCTTTTCAGCTCTGTTCTCACAGAAATCACAAATTAGTCAGAGTGTTTCTGGTTCGTGTAAAACGCCAACAACCATCAGTTTTCTGACTACCATATTTTCAACCAATGAAATTCGCTTTGATTGGTTTGTGATTTCTGTGAGAACAGAGAACAATGTTGCATTTTGGTACACCCCTTGTATCTAGGCTCTTTTCATGGGATATACAATTACTCTGGCTTAGTTTAGAGATCTACATAATTTTATGTACTTTAGGGACTAAAAGTATTCGTTTAGTCCCTATTTTCAGGGACTAAAGTGGCAATTTTTTTCCCTAGGGATTAAAAACGATTTTAATCCCTAAGGGATTAAAAATGATTTTAATCCCTAAAATAAATAGGTAGGTAAGCAATATTGCAGTAGTACATATAAGCATTAAAAACTCAGGTAACTATAGTAGTATATTGTTCATCTTAGCAACTTGTCACAACACACCGAGATTTCGATTTTTGAGTAACATGTTGATGTCAAATAAGGTGCATTCATTTTTTCACATGACATGTCATCATCATAACCACGTTTTGTAAGAGTACGGTCAAGTCAAGTCAAGTGGCATTTAATTATTTATTTTTTTACAGTTTTTCTATCCTCTAAAAAGTACATAAAATAGTATATATACCTCGGGACTAAAGTGTCTTTTTATCCCTCGACGAATTGTAGCCCTCCCTTCGGCCGGGCTACAAACTTTTCGCCTCGGGATAAAAAGAGTCACTTTAGTCTCTAGGTATATAATATACCATTTTTCAAAGTAGGAATCGTTTTTATACAACTAACGGATTCTAGGGTCGAAATAATGGACATTTTTGATAAAAATTATTGATGATGAGTTTCTATAACCGAAACGTTTATTATTTATGTTAAAGCTGCATATCATTGAACAGCTACTGCATGGTGGTTTGAAAAAAAAAATGAAAATATTCTAGGTCCGTTTTTAAAAAATTAAAGTTGATGACGGTTAACAAAGCAGTTTTTGACACGCCGGTATTTCAAAAACTCAAAGAGATTTGGCAACAGCAAAAAAAAATCTTCTGCATTGTAGGGATATTCGAGTTCGATACGATATCACTTATATCGATATTTCTCCATCACTATCAGTCATTTGTCAAAAGAAATGTCAAATCAGCTGTGGCTGTGATGTGAGCTGAGCTTTGCTTTGTCCTGAAAAAAACTGAAAATGCTTCCTGAAAAATCCTGAAATATTTTAAAAACCTGAAAAATAAACAATCCACCAAAAAAACGATGAGCGAACAAGAGAAAAGTCCACAATTGGACAATCGGAAACTATGGATAGGAAACTTGGATATCAGGGTTACCGAGTAAGTTTTATATTTTTATTATCACACCTCTAGTTTTCATACAAATTATAAAATACTAAAATTACTAATATAATGCTTTTGTTTCCTTCCTATTGGTATCAACTTTTGAAACTCGTCCAAACCCATGGCACCATTGAGAAGTTTGACTTGATCTTTCATAGGACAGGACCTTTAACTGGACAACCCAGAGGATTCGCTTTCGTAACGTACGCAAAGCATCAAGATGCCCTTAGGGCTAAAAATTGTTTAAATGGCAAATTGGTGGGCCAAAAAAATATCAATGTTACTTGGGCACATATTGCTGAAATTGTAAGAATCAACTTTTATTAAAAAAACAATTAAAATGGTTTCTTCTAGGATTCAGAACCAACTCCTAAACCAAAACCCGATGTAACTATTCCTGCTTTGGCTCTGAGTAAAAACCCAAAAAAAACTGATAAAGCCTCCCAAATTCAAGCAATAGAGGCAAAGCTAAAAGTAATGGAACACAAAGAGGAAGAACTGAAAATCAACGACTCAATTGCTAGTAAACCAGCAGTTATCCAACAATTTCAATTTAATAAAGATAGGAGTAGTAACAGTGTGAGGCCTTATAGGGCCCACGATAGGCAAAAAAAGCCTTATATGAGGAAAAAGAGTAGGAATTAGGGCTTAACAATGTGTGTCTTTGTTTTTTAACTAACAGTATTTTTGCTTTGCAACTATAGCCATATGTATTAGAATTCTCAAAAAATATGATCTACATTGAATTCCACAGTTGTAGATATATAACTGATTTTTGCCTAGTCATTTTATTTTTAGTATTATGATTTAAGAAAAAACTTGATCTGTTTTTCTAATAGTTAGGAATGTTTGTGTTGTAAATAAAATCGTCCAAAACTATATATACATGATTTTAGACTTAAGGGAAAATTTTCAGATTTTATAAAGCAAGCTTTTTAAGGGCAAAACCATTATTTCTAATTTTCATTACCTAATACCTACATATAGGTTTTTGAATCTTTAGAACAGACATAGCAAGTGAGACAGAGTTTACATCAAATATAATTGAACTGAAACTCATTTACTGTTCATAAAGAAATACACACACCGGCATCAGTGGCGTAGCCAGGATTTTGTCTTGGGGGGGGCAAATTTGCAGGAAGTTTTTTCCTGCGGCCCCGCCGCGACAGCTGCTAGAGGCAAAGCGCCGCAGGCGCGAAATTTTTGGGTGCCACGTCCCTTTTTTAGGTTTCTTTACGCTATTTTTGGGACTGTTTATTTCAATTTTGAAGAATTATTCATAAAATTTAAGGGTCTTAGCCTGGCTACGCCAGTGACCGGCATTATAGCTTGATTCTTCAAGAATACATCTGACATTACCCCATTACCGTTATTAAATGATTCTTTTTTATATCATATAGGTACACTAAATATACAAGGATGGAAACAAAGTCAGTAATTTTCAGGAGGATAAATTGGAGAACTTCTAAGCCTTGGTTGAGTGTGAAGGGAGAGTTTAGAGATTTTAGATTAGATAAATAACATTCCACCAAATACAAATGGAAATCATGAAAGGGACTTTCTGATCCCCCTGTATATTTGTGAGCGCCAATTAATTTTTATTCAAATCATCAGGGGTGCGTTCAAAGACGGCAATGCTAATGCCAAAACCTACTTTTCCCCCTCCACCGGTAATGCCGCACCACGTGTAGGTTGGAGCCGAACGCGAACGCAAAATGCCAATTTTGGCTTGGCTGTAGCCATTCCTGAACGCAGCCCAGGATTCCCATAAAGGCAGAGCAAAAGCAAAAAGTGTAGTGAAATGTAGCCCACTTTTTTAAATATATCTACATATCTGGCATTCCCCAAGAATCGGGCATTCCCAAAATAAAGGGTATACCATTCTTGCGTTCGGTATTTTGCTCAAAGAGCAGAGCGTGCTGAGCGGAGCCGTAATCACGTGACCAGCGAGCGAACAGAGCAGTTGAACGCTGTTTAAAAGTGTCAGAAATTTTAATAAACGAACGCGAATGAGGCTGCACCGAGTACACTTTTCAAATAAACGAACGGTAAAGTCAAGCTCGGAGAACTCAGACCAAAATAACGAACGCACGGCATTTAAAACGAAACAGGCTGAATATCTGATGTCAATTTTATTTTTCAAAAAAATCGCTCATATACGTAATTTGATTCTGTGAGTGTTTCAAACATTTTCAGCACTAACCTAACCCTCTAGGGGGGCTAGGACCAACCCTTACCATTCCAAATGGAACAGAGGGTCGAGTGATACCTGTTTCAAAAGACCGTTCAATTTTTTTTCAAATGACATCAAATGAAAGAGAATTGAATGCTCTTTTAAAAGAGGTATCACTCGACCCCTTGTTCCATTTAAAATAGTAAGGGTTACAGTGGCTAAATAAACCTTTACATGCAGTGGCGACAATAGAGGTCCCGCCGCCATCTTGTTCCCAACCTCTTGTTACTTTTAAATATTAATATATGGGATTTAAATGGACATCTATCATAAAAAATTGAAATCGACGTATTTGATAACCATTATTAGGTCCATCAAATACGTTGTTTTCCATGATTTATGATGGATGTTCACCTAAATCCCACATATTCATATTTAAAAGTAACAAGGGGTTGGGAACAAGATGGCGGCGTTTTCAATATAAATATATGGGATTTTAGAACCGACCTTTTCAATTTAAAAACCTCTCTCTCTGGCATCAAACTGTCAGATGCCAAAAGAGTATGAAAACAATGGTTGACAGCCGTTGACAGTGGTTTGTAGACAAGACTTTTGAAAAAAACTATTATTTCCTCGGTTTTTTCAAGGTTTTTTCCTAACAGTGGTGATTCTGTGTAGTGTGCCTTTTCATAAAAATACATCCTATTCACCGGCGGATGCGTCTTTCCATAAGTTTCTATCAAATTCTACATTTGTCAAAATTTGGATACACAAAATCAGAAAGGATACTCGCAAAAGAAAGAGAAATCTACGCACCATCAAGTATACAAAGTAATCCACGTTCAAGTTTAGTTTGCGGAAGCTGTTTGCTTCCAAAATATTCCATTACCGTCTTCATAGCGAAGTTCTGCGAATGAAGCAGTGACTTTTCCCACATTTTCTTCTCAATTTCAAACCCTGCGCAAATGTTACCGATGGATCCACCATTTTATGTCGGTCATTGTCATTTTCCATTCACTTAATGAAGGTAGCTTACTCATTGGTGAAGTCACCGATTCGAATAAAAACGAGGGAATTGCTAGACACCCAATACACATTGACATTGACAAGCAAGCAAATGTTGGCGGGAAAACGAATGTTTTCATACTTATCGTCTATCTCTTTTAATTGAAAACGTCAATTGTCGCCACTGTGGGTTAGAGTCACTGTATTAAGGGTTGGTCCCACCCCGCCTAGAGGGTTAAAGTTGAAGTGCTGAAAATGGTTGCAGAAAACTTCCCCCTTTGAAAATCAAATCACGTGTACGAGCGATTTTTTAAAAAATAAACCAGGCATCAGATATTTAGCCTGTTTCGTTTTAAATGGAATACCCTGTATAATTGATATTTGAATTCATCATATCCTATCGATAATAATCGATAAAGCCTACTATCTCTAGAACTCTAACACAGGCCTATATCTATCTGTTTTTGTTGCATGTAAAAATAAAAGACACAAATGTTCCGGAGTACTCCGTTGCAACTTGTAAATACTAGAGAACGCCAGCTGTATTCGACCAATCCGACAACGTCGCAAGGCCCTCCCTCAAGAATCGATGAAGGATTCCGCGCAGGCGCAGCCCCAACTTTCAATTCTGCTGTCAACTTTTTTAAAACAGATTTTGTGGTGGATGTTGTTGGATCTGTTTCCAGCGTTTTATGCAAGTTTCCAGTGTTTAATCCCAAATATCGATTTGATTTAAGTAATTGTGGCTATTTAACATTAACAGTGTCGTTTTTCTATCTTGAAACAAGCTTTATTTACATGAGCAACTGCTAGTAAAATGTGACAGGTTTACAAAAAAAAAAATTAAAAAATTTCAAGTGCAAAATAAATAAATAGAAAAACAATGTTTTGCCGGCTTAACAATTAAGTTTTAATTAGACGCGTGTGTATTTGATTGAAGCAGCTTGAAATCCTGCTAGTTTCAGCAATCCTTATTATAGGTCAACAACTAGTTTAATGGAAATTGCTTGAACATCAAAACTCATCATCATGTAAGTTTTTTAGAATTATTTTTATTACGTTTAAAGTGCTTCTTAAAAAGGTAAGTTATATTTCAACAAATCACAATTTGTCAATAATTATTATTGTTATTCCATTCAAAATGTTTACTATACTAAGTAATTCCTATTTGGGCCAATATTGTAATGTTTTAATCCAGAAGATTTTCCAGTTGCTCTGTAAAATCTATATCATGGTAGTCATCGTTGTCTGTTTGAGGTCAAGGCTTCAAGGTCGGCAAAGGGGGCGGCTACCCCTTTTGTCGCCACTTTACTATTGTCGTGTCACTCTACTGGCATTGATTTGCAATAAACATTTGTCGCAAAATCCAGAAATTGTTTTCTAGAAAAGTTTATCACAAGACAAGGTGCATTATCTGGGTCGAGAGTACATAACTCAAGTGCCCAATCTCATCAACAATTAATTGTTGTTGAGATTTTAATCTACCAGCACACAAATTCGAAATAATAGTTATCTTGTTGTTATGTAATAATATTAAGAATGCTGCATCAAGTCACAAGGTTGTTAATAACAGTAATATAAACTAACAGAGTTTACACCTGAGGGCTTAGGGTCATTAAATTTTAACAGCTCGTTCGCATGCGTTTGTGTAGTTTGCTTAATATTCGACAAAGTTGCGACATTAGTTAGTTTATGGTGCTGTAGTACAAGAATTAACACAAAGTTAAATGGCATTTCTAATGGTTCCATTTGTTTGTGTAATTGCGGCAACCTGGCCGACTTTGTTATATCAGTTTTAATGGATTTTTTAAGCAGTGAGACAACGACATGAGTGGAAAAAGGGGCTTTACATGCATGTTACATACAAATTTTTTGCTACTACTAATAATAAGTATAACCCAAAAATAATGTCAAAGAAGTAATTATAAAAACAAACTTTTCAAATATTCATAAAGATGACTTCAAACAATATTTGCCCACTTTGAATTGTTCATTGGTTAGTCAAGATATAAATGTTTTAGCAGGTTTTACTTTCACAAGAAATATTGTAGATGCGCCATTTGAAGAAATCAATAATTTTAAGCTAAGAGTTTGGTTCAGTTATGATCTTATGATGAGTTTACAACATAGAGATCAGCTATTTAGGTTAGCAAAAAAAATTGGGAACTCAGGAACATTGGAACAACTACAAGATTTTCAGCAATTTCCAGGGCCATAATTCTTAAAACAGGGGAGCAGCATTCTGTCTTAGTCGCCCAAAATTTTATTCCCATCATAACACTGACAAAAACAGAGAAATCGTTCTTGTGGGAATGCTGTTTCGAGAATAAGGGCCCTGAAGAGTTTGTCATTGCGAAATTGATTAAAATATTTCTACCTTTTCAGTATCATCCAAGGAATCTCTTGAAATCTTGAGAAATCTTAACTTTTTTAATACCACTTTCTGTCAGACCATTTGATAGTGCATGTAGGGCTGCCATCCGTCCGGATCTCTCCGGATTTGTCCTAGTTTTTAAGGCGTCCGGGGGGATTTTTAATTTTTTGGAGTTATCCGTGTTTTACGGTTTACGGCATCTTGACAAAAATCACGAATAACTTCGCGGAATTGACAAGAATTTTCACAGGGTGTCCCATTTAAGATGGTATTGCGGGTTATGTGCTAAACTCGTAGAGGTAGATTTTTTTGATTTCACATTCCTGGGCCAATTTTTTATGACGGATTGAATGCCGCAAACCGCAGGTCTCTATCTTATTCCGTTTTGGAGATACAGGGTGAAACTTGAAATTTTCACTTTTCCAGCGTATAAAAAAAGATAACAAAAAGGTGAAAATTGTATCTGACGCAGTTTTTCATGTAGATTTCGTTGGCGTACTCCAATTTTTTTTCCTAGGTACCGTTCAAGAGATATGACACAAACTTCATCTTTTTTAAATGGGACACCCTGTAAATTTTTACATTTTTAGAATACACATAAAATTACCTTTCCAATGATATATACCTCAGTAACCTCAGTATTGAAAAGAACATTTTTCCAGACCGATTAAAAGAAGTCACTATAACACCAATTTTATTTTTAAGTCGGGAAATCTAAATTCTATAGAGAACTACAGACCAATAATTGTACTTAATTCACTTGCTAAGATATTTGAGAATATGCTTTATGACATTATACTAAACAGATTTCGAGATAGTTTTGTCCCTCAGCAGCATGGTTTTCTGCCTGATGTATCAACAGTCACCAATCTATGTACTTTGACAGAGGCAGCGGCTGGTGCCATAAATGGTAAGGAACAGCTGGATGTTATTGTAACAGACTTTGCAAAGGCCTTTGATAAAGTGGATCATGGGCTTCTTCTCACCAAACTGGGTAGATTTGGGTTTTCTTTAAGTGCATGTAAATTGATGGAATCTTATCTCCTCTCTAGAAACCAACAGGTTAAAGTTGGTGGGTTTTTGTCAAGAAAATATCTTTCTACATCCGGGGTACCACAAGGTAGCAATCTAGGGCCCCTCCTGTTTGCCATATTGTAAATGACTTACCCAACTGTATTGAATTTTCAGAATGTCTCTTGTTCGCTGATGATTTTAAGGTATATAAACGTATATCCAACCCTGTAGATTGCAACCTACTTCAAAAAGATATAAATTCTGTTGCTCAGTATTCCACAGAGAATAAAATGCCTTTAAACACAAACAAATGTCTAACTATGTCCTTTACACGCAGGTTCAATTATCTTAGACATGATTATTCTCTCAATAATCAGGTGCTGAGTAGAAAAGATGAATGTAGGGATCTCGGAGTACAATTACAGGCAAACTTAAAATATAACCAACACTACGAAAACATTACAAATAGGGCATATAAACTGTTAGGCTTTATAATTAGGAATACCAAGTACTTTAAAAACCTTAAATCAATTATTTATCTGTATAATGCTCTGGTTCGGCCACACTTGGAATATGCATCCGTCATTTGGTCGCCTCAAACAGAAACTCACAATAATATGATTGAAAAAGTGCAAAAAAGGTTTCTGAGATATTTGTATGTTAGGAAACACAATATATACCCCTTTAGAATCTCATATAACAGCATGTTAGATGAGTTTGGCTTGGTTAAGTTAAGTAAAAGACGTATGATTAATGATATAATGTTTATTTATTGTATAGTTAACAATACCAAATATAAAAATTCTTCCTTTATTAATAAGGTAGGGTTTTTGGTTCCTAAGATCAATTTAAGAATAAGAAATAGAAATACACAACTGTTCCTTTATGCACCATTAAGCTGTTCGCATATAAACAGAATGCTACATGAATGTAATGTCTTGATACAGGAAAGTAATATAGATTTTTTTAATGATAATCTTAGAAACATAAAAAATACAATTCTCACCGTAGAAAACAAGATTCAGGCGAAACCCAAATATCTATAACTTAAGGTGGATAGTTCGTACCTATATATATGTTCTAATTATGTCTGTGATTATGTCATTCTGTGTTTAGTATTATTATGTTATTTTTAGTATGTAAGTTGTTAGTATTTTTAATTTTGTTGTTTTTTTCTCTCTCATACCCAGTAAGCACTCCTACATGTAATTACTATTTATAGTGTTTGTACGAGTTTTAAATAAATAAATAAATAAATAAATAATTTGTCTATATTCTTTTGTAATTTGCCAATATTATTATGGTATTTGAAACTTTCCATAAGAAATAATCCTTGCAAATCACATTAAATATTGAGTTTTATTTTCTGGCGTGGAAAAGTTATAATTTCTTGATATTAGACACCCTGTAAAATAATAGTTTATTAAATCATGTATTTTTTCTCATTTCAACGATATAGGTATTACACTTTGTAGATATACCTCTGCCTGCATTAATGTCAAGAAGAAATAGTCTCAGATTGCAAAGAAAATTGAGATGAATAAACTGGCCTTAGACTATCAAATTCAGTTTCTGTGCATTAGTAAGATTTTTAGTTATTTCTTATGAAATCTGCTGTACCAAATAATCCAAAATAACATCAAATTTTCTTTGCAATCAGAAACCATTTTTTTCTACCACTGTGCGTGAAGTACTCACTTTACGCACTATTCAGAAAATGTAAAATTCCACTTCACGCACTAGTGCGTTAAGTAATTCACTTTACACACTAGTGCGTATAGTAATGTCAATGACAGATGTTGAAAATTGTCAATTTAGTATTTTTCTAGTAAATTACTTCACGCACTAGTGCGGAAAGTGAAAAAAACAAAATTCACATTTGTGAAAAAAGGTTCACTTTACACAATTGTTACATAAATAACTATTTCTTGACGTTAAAGGAGAGGTATAACTATAAAGAGATATAACTACTTATATCATTGAAATGGGAAAAATGTATGATTAAGGGCCGGTTTGGAATATGGATCGCACACAACGCTACTGAAGAAACAAGTCACTTCTTGCATATAGAATTTAAACTAGCCTCAAATTGAAGGATTGTTCTTCAATTTTCGCCGTTTTGCGAGATTGTTCACAAGATAAAGTATAAACTAATCGCCAAGCGACACTGCATGTCGAGTTGCGGCTAACTGATCACATATACGAGTTTCGTTACCAGCAAGTTGTGTTGTGTGAGGACGCTCAATGAAATACACAAGCGGCAACTAATAGGCAACTGATTGACAATTCAAGTTTCTAGTATGTTTTTTCAAAGTTGCCTAATGTGCGGAAGGTCAACCGCCTAACTGTCTACAAGATAAATTTTCCAATCTCTAATCTTATTGGTCTGTGGATAACTGGCCAACCAATAGGATTATATATATATTGCCAGTTTATCTGTCATATTGTATTACCTGACAGTTTATCAGAAGAATAAACCGGGCTATTAAATTCAGTTACCGAGCATTAGTGAGATATTTGATTATTTCCCTTATGATATTTGCTGTAGGTATACGTACCGGTTAATCCGAAATGACATCAATTTTCTTTGCAATCAGAGACTATTTCTTCTTGCCGTTAATGCAGGCAGAGATATATCTTCAAAGTGTAATACCTATATCGTTTAAATGAGACAAAATACATGATTTAATGAACTATTATTTTACAGGGTGTTGTATCTCAAAAAATTATAAGTTTTCCACACCAGAAAATAAAACTTAATATTTAATGTGATTTACAAGGGTTATTTCTTGTGGAAAGTTTTAAATACCATAATAATATTGGCAGATTACAAAAGAATATAGACAAATTATATATCATTGGAAAGGTAGTTTGGGTTAGTTTTATGCATATTCTAAAAATGTAAAAATTTACAGGGTGTCCCATTTGAAAAAGATGAAGTTTGTGTCATATCTCTTGAACGGTACCTAGGAAAAAAAAATTGGAGTACGCCAATGGAATCTTCGTGAAAAACTGCGTCAGATACAATTTTCACCTTTTTGTTATCTTTTTTTATACGCTAGATAATGACTACCCTGGAAAAGTGAAAATTTCAAGTTTCATCCTGTATCTCCAAAACGGAATAAGATAGAGACCTGCGGTTTGCGGCATTCGATCCGTCATAAAAAATTGGCCTAGGAATGTGAAATCAAATAAAATCTACCTCTACGGGTTCAGCAGATAACCCCCAATACCATCTTAAATGGGACACCCTGTACATAATATTTTTGATATTCCAAATCTAAATAAATTTTTTTCAAATTCCTCTATAGTTGCAATTGCACTAGTTGTTCAATTCAGTTAGGTACTTCTAAAAACAAACTACCTATGTACCGAGAAAAGTACTGTTCAACCATATACATTTTGTTTTTAAATTGGATTTAACCTTATCCCTTAACCAACAAGAGATTTTACTTTCACCAAAGCAATGGTTAATGGTTATTCTATATTTTTAAAAAGGTAGTACCTAGTTCTTTGTCTCTTTCTATTATTATTATTATTATGGGTTTCTGCAGTAGACGGAATAAATCCGATGAAACTGCTGAATTTATTTAAATTGTTTAAAGATTAGAGATTTGTGGGAAGTCGTGCATTGCTCTTACCAAAAAAGCCTCTGCGGTCTCAAAAGTCCTCCTGAAACTTAGTTGCCTCATACGGTATAGTGCACAAAGAGCGTTGTGCTTTGATTCTTCATTTCTTGGTCTAAACGGTTTTTGAACTGGTCCTTTGTTGTTGACATGACAGTGTTGTTACCAAGACTGCTCCCTGTTTGTTAGAAAATTTCTTCTCATTAGCTTGTTACATTTCACATTGGAAAGCTTTAGATTGTGTCCTCTGAGATTGGTGTTTTGGCTGAGGTGGTAGATCTCTCTTAAGTCGCATGCCTAGTGCCCATTTATTATTTTAAAAGGTTTAATGAGATCCCCCCTCATTCTTCTATCTTTTAGGGTAGTAAGGTCGGGTTAATCGTTCCTTATAGGGCAGTTCATGAAGGTCTGGAGGCAGCTCAGTTATTCTTCGTTGTACTCTTTCAATTTGCTCTATGTCCTTAGCATAGTAAGGATTCCAAATAGTTTGTGCATATTCCACTTCTGGCCTGACATATGATTTATGTAGCTTTAGTATCATATCTTTGGAGATGTCTTTAAATGATTTTTGTATGAGGTAAATCATTGAATGAGCTTTTTTGGTCATTTGTGTGATGTGAGTTTCCCATTTCAAGTCCTAGGTTACAGTGATTCCTAGATCTCATAATTTAAAAGTAATAAGCCTTCATGTTTCAAAAGGCTTTGGGTGTTTGCAAAATATGCATAAATTGAAGTTTTTCATTGGGAAGTTAATGTTTAGAGCATCAGCTTTAAAAAGCACTAGATTCTCATAAAAAATCATATTAGAATACCTACTAGAATATGCTATAAAAAGCATTGATTAGTTTTTAAATTTTTAGGTTAGTTCCTTTCCCCGAATAAAACAAAGTTGGGACAACAGAACCAAAAGTCTACAAGTCTTTTTGCCTTTTCAGTCTATCCTTAAAGTTTCAAATGACAATTTGATAAAATTTAATCTCAATACTTATGGTATTCAACTAAGGCAGAAAACCAGATTAATAAGAATACAGGGTAGCAGATCTCTGCTTGTCATTTGTATTTTGTATTTTTATTTGTGTTTTTAGCCTAACACATCAAAATTCAAATTTTGTAACATATGTAATATTGTTTAGCTGAGCTCTATGTTTCCAATTCATACCTCTTTATGACGACTTTCCTAAAAGATCAATCAACTATATTATTTATGAATATAACTTTGGCTAATTTTGAGGCAATATTGATTGGTATCACTGGGAATTACCAGAAGTTGTTGAAATTGGAAGGAATAACTGGGAATTGAAGGTATTGCTAGGGAATTGTTAGGCATTGCTGGAGAATCGCGGGAATTAGGAGGAAATTCAAAGTAATTCCCCAATGAATTTTACCCAAGCATAAATCATCCTATTGGTCATAGATATGTCATGGTTTATTTAAAAGCAAATAATTTCTTTATTAGTTGATTCGGCTGCTTTTTCTAAAATGTATTCTATCTCCTACTTAGGACAGTACCTTAGGTACTGTACCTATTGTTTGCCCAGCGGATCTGAGTCTACGGAAGGAATTCGGATGTAAATGTGCCATGTTGCCACGTTTAATTATAAAAAATCGGAAATACTAGGCATGAAGTATAGTTAATTTGAAAATCCATTTTTTAACAACAATAATAATACGCTAAATACTTTCAACTTGGTTGTTAGATCTATCCTTATTTTAATCCTAATTTCTTCAATTTGCTCTATTGTAAAAAATAAACATTTTCTAAAGATACCATCAGCTTTTGACAATTTGGCAAGCATTCGTCCTGGATGAACCTGATTGGTGGAGATTTTGGCAGAATCGCCGTTGTCATGGGGAACCATAGGGTTGTCAATGAGCTAACGTCACCTTACGTTTCGCTATTGGCCAGGGCTCACGTCATTTTATCCTCCCATCTTGGAATATCGATTTATATTGAAATATCCAGTGGCGGAGATTTGGTTATTGTTGATTTTCGTGTACGAGTTGCAATACGATAATATTTCCAAAAAGTTCCGCACGCAGCTGGGTATTTTATGAATGAAATCAGCCATTTTTTTTTACAACTGCATTCCCCTTATCCTTGCCCTCGTAGAAACAGAGTCGCTGGGCAGACATTATCTACTTTTTACATTAAAATATTTGAAAGAATCTGGATAAATTTAATATGATGTTAAAGGCTGCGTTTATTCTCATTATAGATTTATATTGTTCAATAAGCAAAGCTAATAACAATAATTCACTCTAGAATTCATCTTACATAAAATCACATTTGCATATTTTATGTAAATTTTGTTAAATTCACAATTTTTTTTATTATTAACCAGTTGTTAAGCAATTTGTTTGTTAAGTTTTGACCGAGGTTTTGACTTCCTACCAAAAAAATGGGTTTTGTTATTGAGTTTTCATATTAAAAGTATGCACTTATTAACATACTTGACTAACGGGATTAATATCCGCTGCCCTTTCTAAATTATAATTATTGTTTTTGTATTGGAAAGTCACAAATTTATAAAGATTTCTGTAAGCATTCTATTCTATTGCAACCAATACCCAAAGGCGTAACTGTTTCCTGCACTATTTCTAAGTTTTTTTAAAAATAACACTGAATTGCAACCCTTGCAGTTTTAATAAACAGGCACCATGCAATTGTATTTGCAAAATCATTGAAATTCAATATCATAATTTTATTGTAGGTAGAGGAAGAGAGGAAGTGAGAGATGTCAGAATTTGAGAAGTATTAAAATTAGTAATGATTTACTATAAGTCTTCTAAAATAGTGCCACGATGTTAAAATGCCTGAAAATAAATACAAAATCTTTGGATGTAGGGGAAGATATACAAGATTAGAAATAAAAAGTCAAAAATTCCAAAGGAAGGGGTCTTCCTTCCATAATGGTAAAATCGAGGATTTATATTTACACTATAGTTCCAATTTGAAAATTTTCTTTTCTCTAATTATAATGGAAAGAAGTGAAAATTACACGTTTGATTGATTACATTGACTTCAATGGTTTCCCAAATTTCTACTTTTTTTCTCATTTTTCTTCTCTTCATTCTCATTTTTCACATCTCAATTTTTGTTTATTTCAAGTTCTTGGATCTTTTCCATGCTTTTCTTCTCTACCTGGACAAAAATTGAAACGAAAACTTGCAAGACAGAGTGGATAATTAAGATTTTTTCCTTATTGCATCTTGACTTGGTAGAATTTTAAACATTACAACTAATTTTGGGGTGCAGTTTTGTAAAAATACATATAAATTCTGCAAATAAAACCACAACATAAATAATAAACAAACAACGCGTTAACAAGATCTGATTGGTTAAAGTGTTTGATGTGAGCCTTAATTGCGTGCCACTTAAAAGAAACGAATTAATATTATTTATGTTTAACAATCACAAAACGATGCGTGTTTTAAGCAAAACAAACCTTTTAATTCCCGACATTTCATCTTGTGTTTTGTCTGCACTTATTTGACTCTAAGAATCTATAATTTTCTTTCAAAGGTTAAAATGTCCTTTGAAAGGGCAAACATTTTGCCGGCAAAGAACTCATTTCAATTTATTGACTTATTATTAGTATGGAAAATGTAAAACCTACATAATTATTACGTATCTAGGCTAATAACTGATGAAACAATGAAAAATTGATAACACGCAAGCTGGTTTTATTTTTAAACTGCCAACTATAGCAATGTAAATGTAATTTGACTATATAAAAATTATTGTAACAGCACATTTATTGGGTTTTTATTTTATTGAATTCAGTTCAGCTATACATTTTTACTTAGTTACCTTTTATTTTTTATTTTTTATGTTTTTTTTTATTATTTTTGTTTATTTCTATTATTTTCAGTTCATGTTTATTTTATCTGGAACATTTCATATAAACACTTCACACCATTATCATGTCTACACCATCGGGCAGCGATTTGAATGGCAGGGAGCTGAGAGAGCAACGTTCCTATTCGGTAGGAGCCAGACTATCATTCCGGAGTTTCTTTAAAGATAAAGATGCAAACCAAAAACAGTAAGTAGCAATTTTGACGTTAAACTTCACATAATTTCAATTATTGGAAGAAAATCTATATTTCGTGTTCTCACATATATTTTTTTTTACCCCAAATACCCAGTTATAACTTATAAACAGACATAAATCGATCGAGCTTTCCAACCTTGGATTTTCGAGTGGAAAATCGTGGCTGGTAAGGGGTGGGCGGGAGAGTGTATGGAGAGAATCAAACCCCCCAAAGCTGGCTCACGTAACCCCGACCTTATTTTCCGAACTTCTGGGCGTCTAGGCCTGATATATAGACTTTTTGTTTGTTGTTTATAAACAAGATTTATTCCAGATGGATTTTTCTTGTGGAGGGGTTGTCTTGGTAGTTGGTTATATTTCCAAACGAGTGAAAAATTCATATACTTTCAAAAAATCCACGTTCTTCTCCTATTTTCATAAACTAGTTGAGCCTATGATTAATGAATAAAAAAATAAAAGAAACGTTGAATTGAGTGACCTTATAAGTAAAATCTCATTGATTCAATGAGCTTTAAAACTTTGCGGTCGAAGTTTGCTTGCTGCCAAATTGAAAACTTTATAGACAGAATAATTTGCAGAGTTTATGAAAGAAGAGACAAGTTGGATTCACGCCACAAAATGGTTTAGAAAGAAAAACTTGAAGTTATATGGAGTCTATTTTCATTATTATTTGCACAATACATTTTTGTGTCTTAGACGTGCGGAAAGTGGTATTTTATGCATACATTTACCTCAAGACCTCAAAATCCAGTTCACAAATAGGAACAAATTCACACTATTTTATGAATGTATGTTTTATCGCATTTTTTTGATAAAACTCTTGATTTCTATAGAAATGTTCAATCAACAGTGAGTGGTTATGTCTGAATCAAATTTAATTCAGCCAGGTTTTATTGAAACTTTTCATATTTCTCAATAGAAATAAATATCAACATAAACACAAATAATAAAGAGGTTGACGACAAATTAATTTTGGCTATTTTAGGCTGTCTGTTGATTAATAATCATTGATTTTTATGTCTCCCCTCAATAAGTCTTGGATCCAATTATTTATCTGCCCTTGGATTTTTCTTTCTAATCTACCTGTTTGGGTTCTAACTTTTTGGATACAGTCCTTTGTCAATTTGAAATTTTGAACATTAATTCTAAAATTGAAAAGGAAACCAAACAATGGAGATAAAGGCATAATCAAGTTAACATGGACAGAATTTGTAGGTAATTGAAAATCCAGAGATTTCAGAAAATCTGGCACGACGAAATGAGAAGAAAAACCAGTTTCAAATAGTTTGAGCTGATCTCAGTAGATATCTAGAAGAAATGAAACTGAGATTAGAGCATTTGTAGTAGGATAAACCTTGTGATAAGTTTCAGGAAAATATAAAAAAACAAAATTTCGAGTTTTTGACTGATTTTTCATTGGAATTTTTTTCAACTTTGTTATAAATGAGCTCTAAATTTTCGTTTTTGTCCTCTAAACATTTCATAATTTTCTCTTTGCTAGTTTTTCAGAAAAAAATCAAAATCTAAGAGGGTGAATTTTCCTTAGTTTAGCTTTAAAAAGTTATTATTCAAGAATTTTCCATGAAGTGATTTTTCAATAAAAAAATTTGAAACTTTCGTATGATGAGCTCCACTCCCTCCCTTAAAAATTTCACAATTTTCCCATTGCTAGTTTTTCAGAAAAAAATTGGAATCTAAAAGGGTGAATTTCCCTTAATTTAGTTTTAAAAAGTTAGTTTTCAAGAATTTTCTATGCAGTAATTTTTCAATAGAAAAATTTGAAACTTTGGTATAATGAGCTCCTCGCTTTCCTCTTCTTCCTCTAAAAATTTCACAATTTTCCCTTTGCTAGTTTTCCAGAAAAAAATAAAAATATAAGAGGGTAAATTTTCCTTAGTTTATTTATCTTTAAAAAGTTATTATTCAAGAATTTTCCATCAAGTGATTTTTCAATAGAAAAATTTGAAACTTTAGTATGATGAGCTACACACTTTCCTCTTTCTCCTCTAAAAATTTCACAATTTTCTCTTTGGTAGTTTTTCAGACAAAAATTAAAATCTAAAAGGTGAATTTCCCCTAATTTAGCCTTAAAAAGTTAATTTTCAAGAATTTTCTATAAAATGACTTTTCAACAGAAAAATTTGAAACTTTCTTATAATGAGCTCCACACTTTCCCCTTTCTCCTCTAAAAATTTCACAATTTTCCCTTTGTTAGTTATCCAGAAAAAAAATAAAGATGTAAGAGGGTGAATTTTCCACAGTTTAGCTTTAAAAACCTAATATTCAAAAAATTTCCATGAAGTGATTGTTCAATGGAAAAATTTTAAACAAGCTCCACACTTTCCTTTTTCTCTTCTTTAAATTTCACAATTTTCCCTTTACAAGTTTCTCAGAAAAAAATTAGAATCTAAGAGGGTGGATTTTCCTTAGTTTAGCTTTAAAAAGTTATTAGGTATTCAAGAATTTTCCATGAAGTGATTTTTCAATAGAAAAATTTGAAACTTGCGTATGATGAGCTTCACACTTTCCTCTTTCTCCTCTAAAAATTTCACAATTTTCTCTTTGGTAGTTTTTCAGACAAAAATTAAAATCTAAATTTATCTTTAAAAAGTTAATTTTCAAGAATTTTCTATAAACTGATTTTTCAATAAAAAAACTTTGGTATGATGAGCTCCACACTTTCCTCTTTTCCTCTTAAAATTTCACAATTTTCCCTTTGTTAGTTTTCCAGAAAAAAATTAAAATCTAAAAGGGTGAATTTTCCTTAATTTAGCTTTACAAAGTTAATATGTATTGAAGAACTTTCCATGAAGTGATTTTCCAATGAAAAATTTTAAACTCTCATATAATGAGCTCCACCCTTTCCTTTTTCCCTTCTAAAAATTTCACAATTTTTCCTTTACAAGTTTTTCAGAAAAAAATTAAAATCTAAGAGGGTGGATTTTCCTTAGTTTAGCTTTAAAAAGCTAATATTCAAGAACTTTCCATGAAGTGATTTTTCAATAGGAAAATTTGAAACTTTCGTATATTGAGCTCCACATTTTCCTCTTTCTCCTCTAAAAATTTCACAATTTTCCCTTTGGTAGTTTTTCAGACAAAAATTAAAATCTAAAAGGGTGAATTTCCCTTAATTTAGCTTTAAAAAGTTAATTTTCAAAAATTTTCTATAAAGTGATTTTTCAATAGAAAAATTTGAAACTTTCGTATGATGAGCTCCACACTTTCCTCTCCCTTCTTTAAAAATTTAACAATTTTCCCATTGCTAGTTTTACAGAAAAAAAATTAGAATCTAAAAGAGTGAATTTCCCTTAATGTAGTTTGAAAAAGTTTATTTTCAAGAATTTTCTATAAAGTGATTTTTCAATAGAAAAATTTGAAACTTTGGTATAATGAGCTCCACACTATCCTCTTTCCTCTTTAAAAATTTCACAATTTTCCCTTTGCTAGTTTTCCAGAAAAAAATAAAAATGTAATAGGGTGGATTTTCCTTAGTTTAGCTTTAAAAAGTTAATATTCAAGAATTTGTCATCAAGTGATTTTTCAATGGGAAAATTTAAAACTTTCGTATGTTGAGCTCCACACTTTTCTCTTTCTCCTCTAAAAATTTCACAATTTTCCCTTTGGTAGTTTTTCAGACAAAAATTAAAATCTAAAAGGTGAATTTCCCCTAATTTAGCTTTGAAAAGTTAATTTTCAAAAAATTTTTATAAAGTGATTTTTCAATAGAAAAATTTGAAACTTTCGTATAATGAGCTCCACACTTTCCTCTTACCCCTCTAAAAATTGCACAATTTTCCCTTTGCTTGTTTCCTAGAAAAAAATAAAAATGTAAGAGAGTAAGTTTTCCTTATAGTTTAGCATTAAAAACTTAATATTCAAGAATTTTCCATAAAGTGATTTTTCGTTGGAAAAATTTGAAACTTTCGTATAATGGGCTCCACACTTTCCTTTTTCTCCTCTAAAAATTTCACAATTTACCCTTGCCAGCTTTTCAGAAAAAAATAAAAATATAAGATGGTGGATTTTCCCTAATTTAGCTTTAGAAAGGTAATTTTCAAGAATTTTTCATGATGTGATTTTTCAATAGAAAAATTTGTAACTTTCGTCTGATGAGCTCCACACTTTCCTCTCCCTCCTTTGAAAATATCACAATTTTCCCATTGCTAGTTTTTCAGAAAAAAAATTAGAACCTAAAAGGGTGAATTTCCCTTAATGTAGTTTGGAAAAGTTTATTTTCAAGAATTTTTTATAATGTGATTTTTCAATAGAAAAATTTGAAACTTTGGTATAATGAGCTCCACACTATCCTCTTTCCTCTTTAAAAATTTCACATTTTGCCTTTGCTCGTTTTTCGAAAATAAATTAAAATCTAAAAGGATGAATTTTCCTTAATTTAGCTTCAAGAAGTTAATTTTCAAAAAATTTCTATAAAGTGATTTTTCAAGAGAAAAATTTGAAACTTCTGTATAATGAGCTTCACACTTTCCTCTTACTCCTCTAAAAATTGCACAGTTTTCCCTTTGCTTGTTTTCCAAAAAAAAATAAAATTGTAAGAGGGTAAGTTTTCCTTGGTTTAGCTTTAAAAACTTAGTATTCAAGAATTTTCCATAAAGTAATTTTTCTACAAACGTGTTAAAAACGCAATTTTTAACACGCTCCCGTAGCATTAAAAATGTTACTTTATCGCACTAGTGCCATAAAGTCTTTATAGCACTAGTGTTAAAAATGAAACATCAAATTTTGAGAGCGAACGTCAAAAAAAGTTTGTATTTTTAGTTAGGTATTTAGGTACATTGATATTTATGGTGAAATTTGAACAACTCACGTAGCCCGATTGGCCGCCTCAACTATATTTTTCAAGGGATCAATGCATTATGCAACCCTCTTTTTCTTCTGTATTTTGTTGCATTTTTAGCAAAAAGCATCACTGACCACGAAAGACTTTCAAGAAACTGACCAACTGACAAGACATTGCATTACCTGTAAAACAA